TGCTAGACTCATCTTTCCGAAACACCAAACACGTCATGCCAGTTCCTAGCTTCGAACTCCACGGTGCCCCTCCCTTCACACACAGCTCCCCGTGAACTGGAGGCTCGGCAACGCTCCCTTCCCCTCCCATCACACTGAATCACCAGGGCTCTTCAGGACTTCGCCACTCTTGGCACTTCTCTCGGAATGCCCTTCACATCATACATCATAGTCTCTGGGGAAATACCCATAGCTCTTTGCAGGCTCAAATGAGTAATCCCTTCCATTTGGGGCTATACCTGGCCCCCTCTCCAGGTAGAATTCAAAGCAAGGACTAAATACCAGAAGGCTTCTTTATCCTGCATGGAATTCTATCATTGCTTCTGTGACATCTTCACACTTGTTGTCTATAGATCTCTCTTCCCATACTTGACTTCTAGACACTTAAGGGCAAGTATCCAGTCAGATTCATTCCTAGAGTTCAAAATGGGGATGGAGCAGCACAAACTGTCACCATGGCTCGAACATAAAGAACAAAAAGCAAATAAAAGCCAAGGCTGTAATACACAGCAATACTCATCCTTTTATTCGAAGGAAGAACAACAGTGGTTAACTTATGTAATAATAATTAAATAAACACAATTACATGAACTAAATCAAGGCCATGTTTGCGGGCCCCCTAGTAACAGGTGCAATTGTGGCTATAACAAGAACTGTGTACAAGGCATTCTCACCTAACCCTGAGTCCACTCAATTGCAATTTGAGACTCTTGATAATGACGAGTTCCAGATAGAGCCAGAAAAGATACTTGGACTCTGGGTTTTTCCATGAGAACCCACCAAAATGGGATATAATGTGGGGCAGAGAAGGAAACTCTACCCCACACTCAAGCTTTCACAGATGACTTTCTTAAGCAAAAGCTGCTGAAATTTGGTAGGAGTAAAGTTTACTTTAAGCATATGCAACTCACAGATGCTCAGTCAGCAGGGTCAGACATTTGATCTTATACTTCGGCGTCTTCGGAGATTAAAATGTCAAATCCAGTTCTTAGCTTCTAATGAGGCTAAGAAAACAAGCCACCACTGCTCGCTGGCCCCAGCTACCCCTCCTGCCCCAGCTGGCTCAGGGAACTTTCTAGACAACTGAATCGAGTGTTCCTATCTAAACCTGTTGCAAGGAAGCTGGACCTGATGACTCTGAAAATGTGAAAATTTCCGTCAAACCGGTTATTTGGCATAAGTCTCAAAGCCTGGATCCTTGCCCGAATTCAAGCTCACCTGCTTACGCCCATGGGCTGGATGGCAGACTATCCTTAGATGCTGTGCAAAGAGAAAACTGTTGGAATTTTCTCAGAAAAGACAAGCTTTTAGAAGGGAGATGAAAAAGAAGGTATGGGCAGAAGCTCTGATGCAAACGGGAATGACCTACGAGAATAAGCTAAGATGTAAGTTCTGTTCCATGTGTGTGGATGGTTCAGAAATAAGCCAGTAATAATTAACTGAGACCAAAAATGTTTCTTATCATAATTTTGAATGTCCACAAGTGACAGAAGAAAACAAAAATGGGATTTGTTCAGCAGAAATCTGAGGGGCATAATATAATTTTTCAATTGTGTCCACAAGGAAACAACACATGGTGAGCCATGTTCTAGAACTTGGACCTTTTCTCAAAACATACCTCTGTTGGTAAAACCATAAGCCCGTTTCTACTATACTGAGTCCAAATGAAAACACAAACACACACACAAGCACAACTTTCACAGCAAGCCACAGGGCGAGTGCCAGCCGATTTCTTAGGTGTCCTTCAACAAGCCGTGTGTCCGCAACACTCTGATCCTGCCCCCGTATCAGGGCTTGGGGCACCGGCATGGGGCTATCTTCTCTTAAACACCATGATCACCAATTTAATGTTAGAGCTGGCTTGCCACTCCTGTCAAGAAAGTTTCAGACACTAGCTGCTGGTCCTGGAGCTTTGATCAACGGAAAAACAAAGAGTATTTTCTTTTCAAACAGGGCAGAATTCTTCCTCTTTACTGACACTACCTCTAAAAGCACTTTAAAACATGTTAGTGCCATCCCATGGACCAAGTCTAATTACACAGCACAATGGATTCTGGCAACCGCCTTCTTCAAACTTCAGAATAAGTTTCTGAAAATCTATGGACTATAAAACTAAACATATGAAGTCTGAAATGGCAGTCCAAAGCCGATGGGAGCTATCAGCCTGTTACTGCTAGCTACCCGGGTGTGGACAGATGACAGACACACAGACACTGGTCTCCTTTTCAGATCTGAAAAGCAATCTACTAATACTTAATTAGTGGCCCAAAGAACCACTCTGGAAGCAACAACAGAAACCATTAAGATTACCCCTGCCCAGGAGTCTCGGGAGTCCCTGGCACATTCTGTGCACTCCATAAATATTTGTTGAATTGAGCAATGAGGGGTCAAGGACCTGGAGCTGGCAAGGGACATGTCCACCTTCACACAGAGTGGGAATAAGGACACAGGCTCCTGGCCTCCAGGCCAGTACTGAGTGGCAGTCCTCTGGTCTCCTTAGAGGAAGGAGGGTTCACTCTGGATACAATTTGGAATCCCTGAGTTTGTCCTCTTCAATACAGCCCAGACCTACTGAACCAAGGATGTCCTCAGAGGAGGGGCCAGGCAGGCTGGCTTGGCTGGGAATACCACCCAGGATCACTTCCAGAGTAGCGCCTTCACCTTTCCGTTTTGCAAGAGCAAGGGGCTTGCTCAACATCCGTCCAGCAATCTCCACGGTCACTGCTCACTTGGTGATCGAGCTCCTCCACAAAAGGTGTCTCCTGAGGACGGGCAGCAGGAATCCAGACCACGCGCCAGGTGGGTTCCCCATCCCCGGTCCTCTTCCTCCCCTGCCAGCTTCCTACATCACACACACCAACAGGGCTCCCTTGAAACCAGAACTCACACAGGACAGCACAGGCAGGGGCTGGGGGAAGCCCTGAGTTTGAATCCTGCCTCTTGCTGGCTGTGGGAAAGTCGCTTCTCTGTACCTCAGTTTCCCCATATATAATGAGAGGACCCACCTCGTGTGGTCGATGTAAGGATTAAGAGGACACTTAAAACGGTGTCTGACAGGACCAAGTGCAGGAAGAACAAAAGACACCATATCTTAGAACCAAACAAATCTCTCTAAAATGAGTAAATGTTCTAGAACAGAACTGACCAAATTTGATTGATATGGGTCTTCCACACTTTTTGTTAATAATCTGCCCCTTACACTTTGGTCTTTTTATGTTACTTTAACCCAATGACATTGGCCCACCTACTCTCACTATTCTATCCAGGAGGATTCTGTTTTAAACAAACACGGGAATAACAGGCAAATTAAGTGGTATTTATATATTTCTTAGAAACAAATCGCCAAGCACTAACAGTAGTGTTCAAAGGGCTAACGGCAAGGAGCTGGGAACATTTCTGGAGTGAGAAAAGCGATGCTTTGGAGGCACTCCAAGAGTTTCACTTAAAATAAGGATGGGGTCCCCTTGCCACCTGCCTAGAAGAACCCTATTGTCAACTGATTCAGGCGCAGGACCACAGCCTCCCGGGTTCACAGCATGGAGTAGGGGAGCCCGTCAGTGAAAAGACTAATCCCTTATTACTGAAATCATCCCCACGTCCTCGTTCCCATATTTTTGCAAGACTGTTAAAACTCCAGATGTTCCAAAAGAGCTTTGTAAATGGGCAGGTAATCTCTCCAGAGATTCCACCTCCATTGCCAGTGATTGCCAAACCCAGCTGTCCAACAAAAGCACCGGAGGAGCTTTTTAAAATACAGATGCCAGATCTCACCCCAGCCCAGAGAAATGAGAAAGTCTGCGGGTGGGAGCCACACATCATTTGTTGTGTTTTGTTTTAAAGTCCAAGTGATTCTAATTTGCAACCAAGTTTGGGAACCACTGCTTTTTATGCCTTAGCGCTCCCACAGCAAAGGCGCTCAGCCCCAAACCCAACTCCCTGTGCCAATGACATCAACAGCAAGTACAGACCTGACTCTCGGAACCCGGGCTGCTCGATCTTGAAATTGTGCAATTAAACCTTCTGAGGCATGTTTCTCGCGTCAAGCGACTTTATGGTCGGTAGTCACGAAGCCAGACTCGCTCATGTTGGGTCTGGGCAGGGCACACATGAACCATGGACATCAATCCTTTTTTTTTTTTTTTTTTTTTAGTTAAGTTTAATATTTTGGTTGGCCTAATGTCAAATTCTTCAAAAAGCTAGAAGACACATCCCAAAGAGAAAAATCTCTGGATTTTGAGGAGGAAAGCTTGCTGTGAGTCCTGTTTTGAAACCGCGGGGCCCCGGCCAGGAAGGGTTCCGCCCCTGGGGCGTTCGCACCAGGACCCGGCTGTCGCGCCGAGGCCGGTCCCACCGCTCTGTCCACTCCACCGCGCAACGCGGACACGCGGCCCAAAGGCTGCAGGTGGGGGCGAGTCTCGGGAGTCCCGGGAAGCCACCACTCACGAGAGCCCACCGTCTGGGAGGGCGCGGACGGCCGGGGGCAGCTCGCGGCGGCAGGGGGGCCGCGGACGGGCCGTGCCGAAGGGAGGGGCGGCCCTCCCAGCCGCGCAGCACAGGTGGCTGGTGTCCGGGACGAGCTCTCAGGGTCAAGGGTGCGCCGGGAGGAGGGCTCGCTGGGTCGGAGAGCCGGCCCGGGGGCGGGGCGCGGGTGCGGAGGGCCGCTCCCGTTCCGGAGGTCCGAGGGGGCGGGATGGACCCCGCGCCTCTCCCCGTCCCCCGGGCCCGGGCTGACTGCTGACGCACGTGCCGGGACGCACCCGCCCCGCACCAAGCGCTCGCCGGGGCTTCCACCCGGCGGAGGACAGGAGAGCGGACGGGAAAGCCACGCTCCGGGCTCCTCGGCCCGCCGCGCCTCGCGCCCGAGGTGCCCCGCCGCCCGGAACCGAGGCGCGCGTTCCTCGGCGGCCCGGCAGAAGCGCGGCCGCCCAGGACGGGAAGGACGGCGGCGCGGGCAGCCTTACCTTTCTTCTCCTCCAGCGCCGGACTCGCCTGGAAGTGCGCGGCCAGCAGCGCCAGGAGCACGGCGCGGCCCGCTTCGGAGCGTCGCATCGCGCCGGGCTCCGCACTCGGTCGGGACGCAGCGGCGGCCGTGCAGGGGGCGCGGGACTCGGCGGCGCGGGGCGGACGGGCTAGCGCGGGGCCGCGGGCGTGCGCACCGAGCCGGGGCGGAGGCTGCGCGCTGCGCCGGCCGCCAGGATGTCTAGCTCTCTGGGGCGGGGGCGGGGGCGCTGGGAGGCCGAGCCGAAAGAGGAGGGACCGGGAGGAGGGGCGGACGGCGCGCCTAGCGGAGGAGGAACCGGCGGGAGGAGCGTCGGCCGGCAGGACAGGGGGAGGCGGACAGCGGCGGCCCCGGGAGCCGGGTGCCCGGGGAGGGGGCGTGCGGAGCCGAGCGAGGCCTCGGGAGTTCATTGCCGAGCCGGGCGTTCCTCGCGCTGTCCCTCGGGACGCGTCCCCGCGGACTTGCCTGCTGTCTCGTTGACCCAGCCTACTAAGAGCCACTTTTACGCCAGGGTTCCCGTTTCCCTTCTTCCTCCCTTCAACTTGCCGAGCAAACTTGTTCTAGCTCCGGGCAAACTGGCCGAGCCTTAGGCCAAGGCCGGATGATGTTACTTAGGGGGAAACCACCGATTTATTCTGGCCCCCAACTCCTCTGAGCACCCCGGCATCCCAGTGGGGGGTCAGCGGCGGCCTGGCCTCCAAGAAGGCAGTTAGCCGCGCCCGCGTGGATGCGGTGGGTGCCTGGCCTCTTGAGATGCGCTCTCAAGTCCGAGGGTCCTTCGGATCCCGTCAGGCACCCTCGAAGTCATCTGAAATAAGGACACCCAACTCCTGACACAGAGACTAGCCTTGGAAAAATGTGTGTTGAACGAGTGCATGGGCACCGAAGGAGCCCGCAGCATTTCATGTGCCAGGAGTACCTGAAAAGCAAATGCATGCAGTAAATCACTTCAAAAAGTCAAGCGCTGAGAATCAAGGCTCAGCACAAACACTAGCTAGGTGCCCCTCTGCCCAGAGACAACCACGCTGTAACTCAGGCAGGAGAAAAGCCAGGGAGACCACTAAGGACTCGGCTAGAAGAAATTTGGCTTTCTCAGGCTGCAGGAACTTTTTTTTTTTTTTTTTTGCCGTACGCGGGCCTCTCACTGCTGTGGCCTCTCCCATTGCGGAGCACAGGCTCCGGACGCGCAGGCTCAGCAACCATGGCTCACGGGCCCAGCCACTCTGCGGCATGTGGGATCTTCCCGGACCGGGGCACGAACCCGTGTCCCCTGCATCGGCAGGCGGACTCTCAACCACTGCGCCACCAGGGAAGCCCCTGCAGGAACTTTTTAAGCTAAATTCCTTCAGCAAAGCCCACAGGACGGATGTCTTCCGCCTGTCTACAGCCAGATTCCCTCTCCTCACCAGGTCCACTGTGACATTCAGGCGGTTCAGCTCTGGTCTCCCTGCTGTTTAAGCAGGAATCACAAACCTACAGTAAGTGGAGTTAAAGCAGGACCTTTCCTACGGTGGGAGGAGCAGAACTTTGCATCTTTCCTTCCCAGGCAGCAAGTCCATGGAACCTGAGACTTCTGTGAAGTTTGGAGTCATCTGTGTTTGTTTCTTTGTTTTAATGAATCAGGACGACCACTGAGCCTGCTGAACTCATCCAGCCCCTGGATGAAGAGGGCTGTGTACGTTCTGCAGTCTGTGGCTTCGGTCTGCTCCACACGCTCCAAACGAGGACTTAAAGTGGTTTGTAAAGAAACAACCTCAGGAAAGGACAACCTGCTAGAGAAGGACACCGAGGCACACAGCAGTGGGGGCACAGAATGCAGCCAAGGGTGCGTCTCTTAGCAGATCTGCTCACAGAAATTCTGTGCGCTTACTCCACAAGGGCCACAGACTGGGCCCTAAGCCATTGTCAAGGAAACATTTGTGTGGTAGCACGTGAATACTCTCCATTAAAACACCAAGCTATTCAAGCTACATCAAATATTTAAGACTGCACAGGGATTTCTCCCATGACTCTCCCGAAAGGAGAGAGCAACAACCTTCATAGTACATCCTTCCATACGACCTGATGGCATCTCAAGAAGCAGAGCTTTGTGAGAACCATTACTTGAAGAGGCAGGGTGCCACTGCAGGCACACGAACCTATACGGGGTTGGTCCCAGTGACTGGAGAGGAGCGGGGAGGCTCAGCATCCTCCTGGGACATGTATGTGAAGGTTCAGTTTCTCCTCTGAGCTTGTGATGTGAGGGGTGACATTCAGGATGACTTTATGCTCTTTGACAGGTACGTGGAGTGGAGTGTACTCATGAATGTGTTACTTGTTTAAAAAAAAAAACCTGTGTGGCTGAGCTAACAGAAAGGACATCCTCTTGAGAGAACGGAGCTTTGCCCAGACTGGGCCCTGTAGACAGGATGCTTGGGTACCCAGCCTCTGCAAAAAGTGACCCCACGTCATATCCTGAGCCATATCCCAAGCAAAAGCTGCCCCTACCACCACCACAGGCATAGCAGGAGCAGCCTTGACTCCACTGTATTAAGTACTGATCAGAAATTAGCTTGTCTGACCACGAATGAGCTAGGTTACGCTTTTGTCTGCCTTTTATAGCAAGATGATGCTGTGGCTGGGAAAGGTTAAGTAAATAACTTGCCCAAAGTCCCAAAGCATCCTTGCTAGTCATGAGGCCAGCCTTGAACTCAAACCCTGGCCACGTCCTTCGTCACTCTCATACTGCCACTCTTCCAGACCTGAGACACATGGAGACTTGAGGCCCCCAAATTCTATTTCAGAATATCTTGGAAACTTTTTAGAGGAGGTACAACCAAAATTTCTACTTGGCCCCCAAATTCCTACATAAAGCATCCGTGCACACCAAGTATGCACTGAGACTGTAGTACATCCCGTATTAAATCTTCTGTGGTCCACCCATTTTCATAACACAGGCTGTTCATTACTTTGCTAGCCGCAAATCGGAAATTTTTTCCCCTCCTCTAATGAGCAGTTCTCCTCTTTGAAGAAGTTTCTGAGTATTTTAAATAAGACTTTAATCCTTTCTGGAAGGAACATGGCAGTGAATCCCCTGAAACCACACACCCTGTGGAAGGGGAGGAGAAGCCGGGGTTATTTGGCAGGGTGACAGTGGGAGGGCTTCAAATATTTTAAGTTCCATTTTAGGCAAAAGGCATTTGACCACCTGTTTTCTCTGGCCTTTGAGGTCAAAGCAGGAATTGAAGAGGAAGAAACACCAGAGTGGCAGATTTCAGAATTTTTAAAAATGTCTTTTGTAAACTACTGGAGTTACCTAAAAGTGGGACGAGCTGCCTCCAAGTGGAAAGTGTTTCTCCATCCATAGAGAGGTTTGTATGCAGAAAGAGTGCGAAGGGAAGCTGTGAATTAAGGGCTGAACCAGATCCCTTCCAATCCTAAAATTCTCTAAGAACATGCATGTCTAAAACAGGTTCCCATTTCAATGTACACGCACTCAACAGCTCTTCTAAAGATATATTTTAAGAAGACACAAGAATTGTCACTGGGGAGGAGAGCTAGGTAGCTGGGGGTCAGGAATTAGAAGGAGACTTGTCTTTCAAATGTCTGTCCTTTTACACACTTACAATTTTACGCTGTGAGCAGGCATTACCTGCTTCTGAGACGTAGGAGTCAGTGGCCTCAGAAAGCCTGTCGAGGTTCCTGGGCGGTGCTGGTGGCAGGCTTTCCAGGTTTCCTCTCCCTTTGAGTCGAGTTATTTGCGTTTGACTCTGAGTTGAGACCTATCTCTGGCAGAATAGAAAACAGCAGCTTCTTTTTCAGGGATCATACGCTGACACCAAAGTGCTGAGGCCTTCGTTTGTCATTAGTATTCTTAGTAGTAGTATATGTTATTAGTATTCTTCCTTATCTCTAGGGTTGAGGGTTACGTAATGCTCAAAAAGCAGGATCGCGTTTTGAATGCCAGTTTCTGGCGTTGTTGAGATGTTTGTTAATTACTTTGCACAGGGATCCTGTAGGAGGTTTCTGGACTCTGTACAATGCCTTGCCCATGTTAAGGGTTTAAAACTGACACTAAATATTTTGTCCAAGGTGTCACCACTTGTCTCAGGGAATAGTTATAACTAGAAACACTAGCCTGGAGGTTTCAACTGGTGGCCGGCAGACCAAGTTCGGGATACAGATGTGGTTTTGTGGGGCTTATTTAATATTTCTTCTAATTGAATTAATAGCAACATTTAAAAATCAGGAGATTTCATATATAAAATGTGAGTTTTGTGTTTCTTTTGAAAAATGGAAAGTGCTCGCCAATTGGGTGTGCTTTCATGCAAGCTGGCATTTGGCGGGGTGATCACTGTCCCCTTCGGAAAGGACACTGGGTCTTCAGCTCACGCTGACACCACCAAGCCTGACCCACCAGTTCATGGGGCCTGCGTGGCTACTATAGGCATTAGCCTATGCAGCACTGATTAAATAGTGCTACTGCCACTTTTTAGGTGTGGTTTCCTCTCACCTCTCCCTTCCTTTCTCTATCCAACTCATTCTGGCTCGTGGCCTGTGTGTGCATATCTATTTGTTGAGAGATTTTGGTCCAGAGGTCATAATGCATTGAATACCGTGATAGACCTTATGTTAAATTAGTATATTTCAAATATGGAATGATGTAAAAGGACAGATGTTTATCACAGCTCATGATGATACCCTATCATTATTATGGTTGACATTCTTGAGGCATAGGATTGAATTTAACCAATTAAAAACTGCTGGGGAGAAATGCAGCCCTGTTGCAGAGCCGAGAGAGAAGGCTCTACCTCTCGGTTATGGGACGTGTGTGTGATGAGCATGAACAGACCCTGAGCTGGCGACGGAGGAAGCCCAGGGAAGGAGGTGGAGCATTAGGAGGTCAACAAGTTTTGTCTGACCGATTTGTCCATAGTAAACTGTAACAAATGATAGAATGCGTGCTTTCTTAGGAAACAACTAAAGAGACTGAAGAGAGAGAATGGTATCAGTTTATTTTTCTTCACAAAGAATATAGATGCAGAGAAATATTTTGAAAGTCTTAAAGTGTTCTCTCATGTTTTAGTTGAGATTTCACCCCCCACCCCAAACAAATGGACACTGTGTACGAAGAGTTCAAAAGGGCCAGGAAAACTACTTCCTTTAGATTGTCTTTAAGCAAGAGAAGTACTATGAAAGGGAGCAGATC